CGACGACGAGAGCTACGAGAACATCTTCAAGCCCATCATCCAGAAGGTGATGGACTGGTACCGGCCGGGAGCGGTCGTGCTCCAGTGCGGCGCGGACTCACTATCGGGCGATCGTCTGGGCTGCTTCAACCTCTCGCTCAAGGGCCACGGCGCGTGCGTCGAATTTGTACAGAGCTTTGGGCTGCCCCTCCTAGTCCTTGGTGGCGGCGGTTACACCATCCGTAACGTCGCTCGTTGCTGGACCTACGAGACTGCCCTCCTCTTGAAGAAGGACATCAATGACGGTACAACACCCCTACTACTCTCCCCATGCATTACACGACACACACACACACACACACACAGCTCAGCCTCACGCTCCATCTTTTCCAGAGCTGCCCTTCAACGACTACTTGGAGTACTACGGCCCGGACTTCAGACTTCACCTGTCGCCCTCGAACATGGAGAACCTCAACGATCCCAAGTACCTCGAGAAGACCAAGATCAAGCTGATCGAAAACCTCAGGAGTGTTCAAGTAAGCACTAGCCCTTTCCAGCCTCGCGGCTTGCCGTGCACGAGCTTACGTTCAACGTTGCGTCTCTTTCTCTCTCTCTCTCGCTACAAAGGGCGCGCCGGGAGTGTCAATGAACGAGATCCCGCCTGACACTTACCTCGGCTCGGACGACGAGGACGAAGAGGACCCCGATGCCCGCATCAGCGGTACATTGCCACGACACCTTTCGTGTTTTCGAAGCGCAGTGCTGCTTGGTTGATTACTCACATCTCTTGTCGTCCACCGCCCACCGCAGAGCGTCACAGGGACCGTCGCGTTGCGCATGACGCCGAGCTTTCCGACTCGGACGAGGAAGACGCAGGGCGACGCTTCGACGACGTTGCCTTTGACGACGACGATGAGGATGAAGAGGAGGAGGACTGAGAATTCCCATCATCGATCGGTAGTGGCCACACGTGGCCAACTACACTTAGACACACGCCAAGGAAAAGGAGTGGTGGGGCGGTAGAGGAACAAGACGAGATCAGTGCAACATCACCTCCATGAGGTCGAGGCCGACGATGCAGACGAACAGCGAGCGACACCACCCTCCTCTCCCCACTATTCTTCTTGTTGGTCGTGTCTTCAAGTGCTTGTAAAGCTTTGCCTTTTGGTCCACCAACGGAAACGGCCAAAGACAATTCTAAATTTCTACAAGTGATTTCGGAAACTGTCTTCGTTTGGCAGAAGTGGTACATTGATCTCTCAAGAGATTGAGAGGATGCGGCGAGGCCCCTCGCTGAGCGACTTGTCGCTTGGGCACATGGCCCCCGCCACCTCTTCCACTGCCATAGGTGAAGGGGTGGAGCATGAAGATGGCGGGCAGGCCACCACGCCGGTGGCGTTGATTTGCTTGCGCAAATTCGAGTATGAAAATGCGCTGCTCGACGAGATTGTGGAAGCCAAGCTGTCGCCCACACGCGGCGTGGCAGCTCTGCTCGGACCCAAGCGCACCCTTCACCTGGTCCTGCTTTCGGCCGTGCAGCAGAGCAAGCCCACGCCGCCGTCAGCCTTCGCCACGAACCACCAGGGCAAGCTCGTGGAAGGATTCCTTGTTCACGATGTCGAGCGGTGCGATTTACAATTTATTTATCTATTTAATGATAATTATTATTAATCACATCTGAATTTATGTTATTATTTTAATTGCTGGCTGCTACGCATTGCAACTCACGACCGGCTCGGAGCAGATTCGAATGGGCAGGTCCGATGGTGGTGGGCGAGCACGAGAGCAAACTGAGCGTGCTGCTGGTGACGGACTCCAAGGGCAGCCTGTGGGCCTACCAGGTGGCCGAGCCCTTCGCGCAGCACGCGTGCCACCTGCTGCCGCTCCCGGCCCAGCTCGACCTCGCCATCTCGCCTCGGGCCTACCTTCCCACCGTACAACACGCCGACATGCCCCAAGGTAAGAACTTGTGTGCGGCTCGACGTTGGCCTGACGACTGACCGCCGCCGCCGTTGTATCGACACCGCAGACAGCAATCGGCCGTCCATACCCTATGCCGAGGTGAGCCTGAAGCAGCTCAAGCACCTGCTCAATTCCAAGCGTTCCACCGCTCCTCGTACGCGCGCGACCGCCTTCTCCAGTCCTTGGCTTGTTTGCTTGGTTTGCTTGTTTGTTTGACGGCGCTCGCGGATCTATTTCTCAGCGGTGGAGGGCGAAACGATCGAGTTCATGAGCACCATCAAGGCCTTGGATAGCGTGCTGCTGGTCGTGCAGCAGACCGCGATCGTGCTCTCGGTGTCCGTGCAGCGAGGCGCCCTGGTCATCAACCTCACCCGCAGGTACTGGGCCACGCACTCACTGCGCGCCGGTGCGCATAGGGCAAACAATGATGGGCTGGAATCGAGTTCTCACGCATGTTGGTGGTGTGCGCCAGGTTCGCTCTGGGCGCGGCCTACGTCCACTTTGCGTGCCTCGGGCAGTGGATCTTTGCCCTCAAGTCGAGCGGCCACGTCGACCTGTGGGACATCTCCGGCTCCAAGCGGGCGCTCATCGATCTGCCCTCCTATCACCGGAAACACCAATCTCAGGCCGGTACGAACACAGCTTGCTTCAAGGCGACGCCACAGCTGAATCTGTTAACTTTTTCGATCTGATTTGATTGCGACGACGCAGACGCCACGGCAACGGAGGGCGACTACAAGCGCATCGCCATCTCGTGCGACGGCGAGTGGATATGCATCACCGACGCTTCCGGCAAGCTACTCGCCGCCCAGCTGGACCACTACTTCCGCCAGTTCCCCTTCGCCGTCGTACGTCATGCGCGTCGTCTTATTTGGGATGGTATGCGCGTCATCAACTCACCCTATTGTCGGCTGTTTGTCGCACGAAACAGAACCACCCGGCGGCTGCGCTGGTCGACTACCAGGCGACCTCGGCGCTCCCGCCCTCGCGCTACTCAGTCTCGGTGGCCGCCTCACATTCCATGTTCGCGGCGAGTGGCGCCACCCGCGGACCCGTGGCGGATTCGATCACCGCCGTGTCGGCCGCTCTCCCGCGGGGCCTCCACTGGCTCGATGACATGAGCGGCGTCGACGCCGCCGCTTCCGCAGCGTCCGGCGGCGCGGGCTGGGTGTCAGGCTGGCGCTCGGATAACGTTGGCACCGGTCCGTAGGCCTTACTTCCCCTGTCCCTGCGTTTGCGACTCACCAGCGGCCCTGGCCGTCTACAGACGGGCTGGAGCTGAACGGCTTCACGGTGAGCAGTTCGGTTACGCCGCGGCAGCGCACGATGACCTCGACCCCGTCGCGGCAGAATTCCTACTCGGCCTTTGACTCGCCGATGCTGCGCTACGGTTCCTTCACCTACGACGGCGGCGTCTCGCCCTTCATTTCCGGCACCTCGCCCACCTCGCTCGCCAAGCTCGCCGCCTCCTCTACTGAAAAGGTAACCTTATACTCCAGCCCCTCACTTCGATCGAAATCAAGCCCGTGTGGGTGACTGACGGTGGCCTTTTGGGCTTTTGCAGGACTTGCCCGAGGACTCTGACAAGCACCGCACGCGCGTGTGGTCGGTGCCGGGCAATTACCGAGATGACGGGGCGACGTCGGCGATGATGCCGCTGCTCACCGTGAGCCCGGCGTGCGTGATTGTCGAGGCGGAGGTCACTGCCGACGCCGGTAGTGCTGCTGACGGCAACGGCGACACCGGCAGCGCCCTGGGCGGCAGCTCCGGTGTTGTCAGCACTCAGCGCGGCGCGGCGCCGCTCAAGCGCAGGACCATCGTCGTCTACGAGCGCAAGAGCGGCGTCAAGCTGTGGGAGGGCAAGCGCGAGCCGGGCGTCGTGCTGCGCGAGGCAGACGACTCGTGGTATGTGCTGCGGCGCGAGGGACTCTTCTCGCTCATCGTCGGCCAGACCCAGGAGCGCCTCCTTCACAACATGATCATGGGCGGTACGCGCCTCACTCGCAGCTCTCTTCATCGCACCGGCGACCAGTTGATCTCACGCCAAAGCTTGTCCGCCCTCGCACACACGGCACACGACACACAACGACACACACGCACGCAGGTAACGCGATGCTGGCGGACAAGCTCTGTCGTATCAACGGGTGGGACATGGCCGCACTGCCACTCCACGCGCTGGAGTTGGGCGTGCGCTACCGTCAGATCAACGTCGTCCAGTCGGCCCTGGCCTCGCTCAGCCCCATGCAACAGCTCCCGGCCGGCCGGCTGCTCGCTCGCTTCGCCGACGAGCTGCAGCCGACCACCGACCACGAGTTCGCCCATTCGCTGCTTCAGATCGGTACGCACCCCTCCCCCTGTTTTGTGGCACTTTGTCCCGGCTCCACGCATGACACCGACGTGTGTGTGGTGTGTGGTGTGTGTGGTGTGTGTGGTGTGTTTGCAGGCATGAATTTCGTTAGCGATATCATCAAAGACAAGGCGGCGAAGGTGCATGGCGCCAATGCTCCTGCCGATGGGGAGGAGATGGAGCAGCTGCTCGAGTTCTCTCGCATCCTGGAGACGCTGCGCAACTCTCACCTCTCCGGCGCTCGTCCCAATCTCTCGCTATCCATCGACCAGGTACTACCACGGCACCACACACACCACACACACGCACACGCACGCACACGCACACACGCACACGCACGCACGCACGCACGCACGCACGCACACACACACACACACACACAACACACGCACACAAAGCATTGATGACTGATAAACAACACAGGAGATGGAGGACAGCAAGAAGAGCGACAAGGCGAGGAAGATCAAACCCCGCTCGCTCTTCATTCCGTCGGGAGCTGCAGCGGAGGAATCGAACGGGTCTGCTCTGCTGCGCATGTCCGGCAAGCACAAGCAAAGCGCGAAGCTCTGGGATGAAGTTCTCGACGGCCACATCGGCTTCGGTGGATTCGAAGAGCGTTGGGAGGTAAGTCACCTTCACCGTGTGTGTGTGTGTGTGTGGTGTGTGTGGTGTGTGTGTGTGGTGTGTGTGTGGTGTGTGTGTGTGTGTGTGTGTGTGGCCACTACCGAGAGTGCTCAACATTTGGTTTTGTTCGACAGCGCATGCAAGACGCGGAGGTGGTCAAGGAGGCCCTGCTGACGAGCGCAGTGTCTCGTGCGGTCGCCTATCTCCAACTCCGCCACTCGGACAAGCCGCGCCCGCAGGGCGGCTACTTCGCCTACTTCAAGAAGATCGGGTTCGCGCTCGTTTACCAGGCCGTGTGCCAAGATCAGGTCAGCCACCCTCGCGCCCCTGTGTGTGTCGTGTTCGTCGTGTGCGCTCTCAGTAGTAGTGGCTCACAGTCAGGGTGCAGGTGGAATTGGCCCGGCGAATCCTGCTCACGATGGGCGAGAATGCTGACGCTCACCTCCGTCTGCTGGCTCTTTACACCACTCGTCGCTCGGTCCGCACTCGCTTGCTGGAGGCCCTGCCCTCCTCCATCTGGTCTCCCGGTACGTGCAGCTCTTGTGTGCGTTGTGTCGTGTCGTGTCGTGTCGCGGTTGGCCTGACCACACAACGACACAACAGCGGAGCTCGAAACAATCGCATTTGCGAAAAAGCTCGAGCGGCTCTACCCGAATCCCTACTACTCGCTCGAGTACATCTCGCGCTCATCTTCCCGCCACCCCACCCTGGCCAGCTTCGCTCTGGTGCCGACCTACATACCCATTCTTCTTCATCTCCGATCGGGCTTGAACTGACCTGACCTGACCCGCCCAATGGTGATCCACGCACAGATGCCCGATAGCGCGGCGGGCCAGTCGGCCGAGCTGTTGCGACGGGCGGATGACATCGACGACATCCTGCCCCAGACGGCTGCCATGTACGGATTCCGCATCACCGGCACTCTGACGCCCGCCGAGTCGCCTGCGCGCCACAGCAGCGAAAAATGGGAGCGGTACGCACCCTTGCCACCCAACCACACTTCGA